TCCCGATGAAAATTCAATTTTACAAACAAATTACCTGGGAAATTACGACATTTCTTGCAATATCCCGGAATTTTCAATAATTATTAAGAAATGTCCCGATTTTGTACATTTTGAGTTGGTCACTCTACTCGTAATACACTAATGTATAATTAATTATAAAATAAAAATTAATAAAAGCCAACTGTTAGTAATCAATAATTGATCACTCTAATACTATAATTGATCAATAATTGTAACAAAAACGCCGCCGTATTGATTAGTCGGCGCGCGTTTGACAATCTGATCGTCATATTGGGTATTAATTTTGGTGGCAACGAGTTGGCACGTATCGACGACCACGCGTTTACTGTCGGTCGGAAAGTCTTGCAAAAACCGTTGACTATTATTTTTAATGGCAATTATCTTACCGGCGAGTCGTTCGCCACCGACCGGCCGGTGTTTGATGGCATCGGACGCCCGACTAGCATATGGTTCAACGATAACTCAGTCGACTATCTAAACGATACCGTTTTTGACAACTTTTTGGCCGATAATATGGCTAATAGAGTCGTCAATCCGGTGTTTGATTGCGCCGACAGTCGTAATGAATTTGTTCAAAAGAAGTATGCGAGCGTTTGGCGCAATTTAAAATGTCAATAACTTTATTAATTGCAATATTATTATAAATCAATATTATATTAAATTAATAAAAATATTACAACATAAACATAACGTGGTTTATCACATGGATTATCATTTTACTAATTATTTTTATAATTCAAATTAATGCTAAATATTAAACATAATGTAGTATTATGTATAAGTGTTACATTAAACATATTAATAATAAATACATAAATTGTAATCGGATTGTTATTTGCGTTAATTATTTCATATTTGTGATGACTAAACACAATTCAATAATAAGTGCAGCAAATGATACGCCAATACCGCACATATAGGGACCAATTGCTATCTTCATGGCATCAATAGTAAACAATGCAATACTTTTTGCCATCGGTTTATACTTATAGTCCAAATCTCCGTATAATTTGAATCCGTGTTTTGCAGTCATTTCTCTCATCTTTGAGAAGAGACCGCATTCTAGCGTTGATTTTAATCTATAATTTATCAATTAATAAACTTAATGTTAATTCTATGGACGAGTAATAAATGTAATTATTTATTTGACTATACATTTGGTTCAATTGAATGGCGAGTATTGAGTCCGCGTTATCCTTATGAATGAGGAAACCATAGGGTCTGTCAAAGTACTCATCTCTGGCCATATGAACGGTGTATCCAAATGTTTCCGTTTGTTTCGTATAGAAATCCATCGCAAATTCAGACGCTATGAACACATGACTTCTCTGATCCCTCACTTTTACCATGAGTTTTGTAAACTCGGAATACATTCCCGTATAAGTGAAGTCAAAATAATTTTCATTAAACACGTTTAGAGCCCTGTTTATTATCCGGGTCTCTATTGGAGTCGACATTTGCTGAGTTGCATTAGCAGTATAGTTAATAACCAATATTGAATTTTTATAAATTGAATTATTATGTTTACCTGAATTTGTTTTAGTTCTGCGGTTGACATGTATAACAATGGCTGCAAATCTTGTCTCTCATCCAAGTCTTGCAACGAGTTTATAAATTTATGTGGATTTTGAATAGTTATTGACAAAATTAATTGATTAAATATAGTTAGTATAAAAAATTTCGCCACAATTAATATCCCAATAATTAATAAATATCTGAATGTATTGTGTTTTATGCGAACATCTATTAAATAAATGAAATTTATTATTTTTATACTGTATATGTATTTTATTATTTGCCTTACATTGCATAACGTATGCATTTAATACATTCCATAAGTTATCGCAAAATATGTGAAATTTACCATGGTTAATCTTAAAATAAAAATTTTCATGTTTATTTTAGAGTATTTTGGTTTAGGTAAACACAGTTGTATTTACCTTAATTGATATACGAATGAGTTATATAATACTTCTGACCATAACATTAAGGAGCATATCGCGTAAAATAACACAAACAATAGCCAAAACTATATAAACATACAAATTTCAATTACATACATCTAAATTTATACTAATTATGTTAATTTAATGTTTCAGTTCATTAACAAAATTACGTAATCATCAAAAATGTTAAAAACAGCGGAATATTGATGTGAATCGATGTTTGGATAAAAGCCACTCATTATAGTAATGGCCGGAGAATTGTATGCGATTTGAATGCTTGAAAACGATTGTATCATTTCATTGACTCTCAGATACATCAATGTTATGTCCACTTCCTGTTTGTTATATTTCAAAATTAATTAATTATTTAAAATTAAATAGTTATTTTGATTGTTATTATAATATTAACCTTGTTATAAATATAATCAACAAACGGCTCGGCAGTATAATTATACCCTGGTAAACTAAAATAACGATTTCCATCAATCATAACTGGTATAGCCCTAAATAAATTAAATATAATCTAGTTTATTTATTTTATAAAATTAGCATAATTACTCGTAATGCGTTCTCTTTACAAGTTCCCGTAATATAAAATAATACGGCTTACAGATTGTTCTCATATCTGTTTGTTGTATCTAGCACAATTAGAAATATATTCAAAATTTAGTTTATAAAAGTTGCTTTGTACATCAACAAACCATTTGACTCCAAGTAACCGTAAAATTTCCTTTTGGCACAAAATCAAAATCAAAACTCTGTCCATCCGTTTCGTAGCCTATTTTAGCGTCACAATAGAAATTAGCTGATTTTGGTGCAAATTCATCAGCTAGGTCATTTAAAGCAAATTTCAACTTTCGCATTTTTAATTAAATAACTAGAATTAATAACAAGTATTAAATTAACTGAACAATAATTAACATTAACAACATTGAGTTTAAAAATTTTTTTAAATAATAAACATTTTAAAATGTCATTTCATACCACGATTAATTAGAATAATCAATATAATAAATACTTTTGCGTGAGATGCATAAAATAACAAATAAATTATCAAAACAATTATTTATTGATTTTCAATTTAAGAACATATTAAATGTAAATTAATTTTACATAAATATATTATACAGTAAATATTTTTACATGCATATTATTAAAACAATTCATATCAATATAAAGCAATAATTATTTTGTTGAAAAAATTTATTTTTATTAAAAATTATGGTAAATTAATTACACATTAAATATAATAAATTATAATAATCAATATACCGTAACAATAATTTCTTAAAATGTTATTATGATAAATGAAAATTATAAATGTATATAACCATTATTTATTTCTTCTAAAGCATATATAAACTCAGGCACATTTAGCTATCAAACTAATTTGTATTTGTATTTCAAAATCATTGCGACTAAAAAGACTGTTATAAATTAAGTGGTAAAATAATTGGTAATAAAATTCAAATACTAATTACTACATTTTGCCAACAGAGTGACTAAAAATATCCATGAACAGAAAGTAAAGTAAACATCTTTATTTATTGATAATGTTAGTATTCATGGCTGTTTTGATGCAGGTAAGTATTGACGATTCCCAGTGCGATGGGGACAGACTATGCCAACTACCTAACCACCAGCTTTGTTTTTCTAATAACAGTACATAAATATTATATTACAGTATATTGTAACATGTTACGTTATACTGTATACCATTATAGCATAGCATATCAGTAGTTGTCTGTAAATAATAATCAATATAATTAATATTTATAAGATGTTCTTGAAAATAGGAATTAAACAATAATATACTTATGTATTAATTTTCAATTAGGACGACCTATTAAATGGAAATTGGTTGTACTTAATTAAATTAATAAATACAATAAATAAGTATTTGTACTTTCTTATTATAGCAGAAATTTGTTTTAATATTATATAAACAAGTGTAATTAAAAGTAAGTTTTCTAATCATAATTATTTTGTTGACAAAATTTAGTAAATTATTTATGTACAAAAATAATTTTAATAAATGATTATCAATAATATAATAATTACGCAAGTTAACAAAATATATTATTTATGTTAGTAATCTTATTTTGCCGTCATTGTGTACTTACGTTTATCTGTACTATAGAGATGTTATATAATACAGAAAATAACATTTTATTTAAGAATAATTTTATTAATGTAAGTTTACTTATAAATATATAACCTACAGTACAATAGCTTAATGTATCTTAATTATAATAGTTTAAAATGTGTAATTAGAACTTTTAATATTTTAATTTAAAACAATAGTAAATAATGTTATTTGCAATATTTATTTGATAAAAGGCAAAGTGTTGATTATAAAAATGTTGTTATAATAAAGTATAGCATAATGATAGAATTAAATAATAAAAAGTTATACACAATAATATCATACGTAATATGTCTGATGGGATGTGTGTATCAAACGTATAAAATAAGTTTATTATACTTTTCATACGAAACCACAACTAATGTCATATACGGAGAAGACATACCGTTTTCATTGCCCGGTATTACAGTCTGTGTACTAAAAGACTTACTTATAAAAGACAATATACGAGACAAATATTCAATGGCTTACAAGAATCAAATAATAGTTAATAATAAATTTAATAACCTATCTATCATGGATCAAATGGACCACATGGAACCATTAGAAAAATATATTGATTGTAACATGTACACACCAGGAGCACCACCACCAACATGGCCCAGATGTAGCCAATTTGCGCCATACAGGGTGTCCATCGATGACACCCGAGTATGTGTATCGATATTCACTCAATGGGGCGACGAGTTGGACACCCAGTATATACCGAACAGCGCTGTAACGAGTGACGAGAAAAATCCGTTCATTTTTTGGATCATATTCAATCGACCCAAACTTCACGCTCATAACATCATGGTGTTTCACGCGCATGCGCGCCGCGAACGTCTCTACAACTCGTACGCCCGTGGCTTTCTCTACCTAAATTTGCGTAATGTTGATCGCATTAAGCTTAAATACCGCGAAGTACTTGTTAGACGTTACAATCCGCACGTGCAGTGCTCTACCGGCAAAACACGCACAGAATGTTTGAGTGAATGTAGAGTAAGGGAAAC